TTTCCGGAAACGCGGAACACCCGAGTATTTCGAAGCGTACTCGACTCTTGAACGCGAACTCAAGAGCCTCATCAAAGCCAAGAAACGCGGATACTGGCGGCAATTCGTGGACGGTTTATCGCGCGAAACGTCGATGAATACGGCGCGAAGGATGCGTAACCGGTCTTCAAACAACGAGAGCGAGGAGTACTCGGATCGGCGGATTCTCAAGTTCGCGCGAAAAGTATGTCCTGATTCCGTGCCGGCACAGATGATTCCTCGCGAAACGACGAATTCGGTAGACGAGATCAGCCAGCCTTTTGCAATGCTGGAGCTCTCACTCGCGCTCCTTTCGTGTCGCAATTCGGCTCCGGGGGCTGATAGGATCAACTTCGACTTGTTGAAGAACCTCCCAGACGTCGCTAAGAGGCGCATGTTGAACTTGTTTTGTCAGTTCCTGGAGTTAAATATTGTTCCAGATGATTGGAGGCGAGTGAGAGTTATAGCCATTAAAAAGCCTGGAAAACCCGCGTCAGATCATAACTCGTATCGTCCCATCGCGATGTTATCGTGCATTCGAAAATTGTTGGAGAAAATGATCCTTTTTCGCCTCGACAAATGGGTTGAGACGAACCACCCACTCTCAGATACTCAATTTGGTTTCCGTAGGGGTAAGGGAACGAACGACTGTCTTGCGTTGCTTTCCACAGAAATCCAGTTGGCTTTTGCTAAAAAAGAGCAAATGGCTTCTGTGTTCTTGGATATTAAGGGGGCTTTTGATTCAGTATCGGTTGAAGTCCTTTCAGACAAACTCCACGCTTGTGGCCTTTCCCTATTAATTAATAACTTTTTGTACAATTTGCTGTCAGAGAAACATATGAGCTTTTCTCATGGAAACTCTACAGCTTCTCGATTTAGTTACATGGGTCTCCCCGAAGGCTCATGTTTAAGCCCCCTTTTGTACAATTTCTATGTCAGAGAAATTGACAATTGTCTAAGGGACAACTGCACGTTGAGACAACTTGCAGATGATGGCGTAGTGTCTATGACAGGGCCCAAAGGGGTCAACCTGCAAGGACCCTTACAGGATACCTTAGACAATTTGTCTACTTGGGCTATCCAGCTAGGTATCGAATTCTCCTCGGAGAAAACTGAGTTGGTCGTTTTTTCTAGGAAGCATAGCCCAGCACAACCGAAGCTTCAACTTTTGGGTAAGCCGATCACTCATTCCATGTCTTTCAAATATCTTGGGGTCTGGTTCGATTTCAAATGCACCTGGAGATCCCACATTGAGTATCTGAGACGAAAATGCCAACAAAGGATCAATTTTCTTCGAACAATTACCGGAACGTGGTGGGGAGCTCATCCGCAAGATCTTCCAACGTTGTACCGGACAGCGATTTTATCGGTTTTAGAGTACGGTAGTTTTTGCTTCCAATCGGCGGCTAAAACTCACATCATCAAACTGGAACGTATCCAGTATCGTTGTCTTCGTATCGCGTTAGGATGCATGCACTCGACTCATACGATGAGTCTCGAAGTGTTGGCGGGCATGTTGCCACTATCGGATCGGTTTTCGGAATTGTCCCTCAGGCTCCTCACCCGTTGTGAAGTTATGAACCCACTGGTAATCGAAAACTTTGAGAAGCTTCTTGAGCTAAACCCTCAAACTCGTTTTATGTCATTGTACTACGTGTACATAACTCAGGATGTCAGCCCTTCACAGCATAATCCCCATCGTGTATGCTTCTCCGACTTCGGCAATTCAGTTAGTTTTGATTTATCTATGACGCGGGAGATTCGTGGAATCCCAGAACATCATCGTTCCATGATTGTTCCGTCAATTTATGCTGCGAAGTTTGGCCAAGTTGATTCCGCAAGATCGTTCTTCACAGATGGATCACTAATAGAGGCGTCCGCTGGTTTTGGTATTTATAACGAATTTCATAGCGTCTCCCGAATGCTTCATGCTCCTTGTTCCGTGCGGCAATACACTATACGCTAGAAACGATCGCCTCACTTGCACCAGATCACTATTTTATTTTTACGGATAGTCTCAGTTCTGTCGAGGCTATTCGCTCCATGAGGCCGGTAAAGCACTCCTCGTATTTTCTCATGAAAATACGAGAGCTTCTGAGTGCTTTATCTTTAAGATCTTTTGTCATCACCTTTGCATGGGTCCCATCTCATTGCTCGATTCCGGGCAATGAGAAGGCGGACTCACTTGCTAAGGTGGGCGCTATGCAAGGCGATATTTACGATCGACAAATCGCCTACAATGAATTTTTCTTCATTTATCGTCAACAGTCGCTCGCCAGCTGGCAAAATAAATGGAGTGAAGGGAGTTTGGGACGATGGCTATTCTCGATCATCCCTAAGGTGTCGAAGAGTCGTTGGTTCAAGGGGTTGGATGTGGGTCGAGACTTCATTCGTCTGATGTCTCGTCTCATGTCCAATCACTATTCGCTAAACGCTCACTTGTTTCGTGTTGGGCTGGGGGACAGCAATCTCTGTGAATGTGGACAAGGTTACCAGGACGCAGATCACATCCTTTGGTCTTGTGCTGAGCATCGTGGAGTCAGATCTGAGCTGTGCGATTCCCTTCGGACTCGAGGTAGACAACCTAATGTTCCAGTTCGGGATATTTTGGCTAGACGAGATCTGGAGTTTATGAAACTCATATATGTTTACTTTAAGAATACTAACCTTAGATTGTAAGTTTGATTAACCTTGTGTTTAGTTTGTGTATTGTGCGTGTAGTTTTTTTTTTAATGTTTGTTTTCAAGATGAATAGAAATAAGTTCATGTTTTAGGATTAATTAAATATTCGTATAATAAATCATATTTCAAACCTCCTTCTCCCTTTCCCCATCCAAAAAATTGTAAATCTCCACTAACCTCGAGACGACCGCGAGTAATCGGTTTAATTCCTTTAACTCTAGATTTAAGACATTAATCATGTATAATGCAAATGATAACTCGGCTCTGTAAAGTTTATTCGATTGAGCCTGTACAAATAAATTAATATAAAAAAAATAATCAATCTTTATGGGTACAGAATGAAAGTACCTCAAGGAATCTCAACTGTATATAGATAAGATAATTGATTTGTAAAGTAAAATTGAATTTTAATTACTAATTTAAAAAATACGTAGTTACATGAAAATGTCTTGATCTGCTAAGGACTAAATCTTTTCGAAATATTTTGGAACTAATCTGCATGGGTCTGCAGATTAATGATGTTATTTATCTCCGTCAAATCCGAGAATTTGCAGTGACGAAATTTCTTCAAAATTTAAAGTCAATCAAAACTTTTATGTGCACTCCATTTTTTGAAATATGTAATGCTTTTTTTTAAATTTCTAAGAATAAATGTTGCTGACAATTACCCAAGCAACACGGCTTGTTATAATGAAATAGAAAATACTTTTCAATGACTTACATATAGAATCAATAATACTTTAATTTTCATCATTTAATACATTTATACAACCTAAAAAGTGCAAGAAGCGGAGCTTATAAAACTAAATATTGGTATTATAACATGTTTTGGAAACATCATAAAAACCAGCTGCAAAAAATTTAAAAAAAATGAGCATGGGATTCGAACACAGGTCCTTGGCGTGAAAGACTTATTACTTCCTAACTAGACCAACTGCGCTTGATAATAGTTAAATAATAAGTATCTATCATGTTCTTGCCAATGGCATGAAAATTATATTCTTGTGCAACACGCCTGCTTCGATCCGTCATAAAGATGTTTTGTAAGCATCAATGCGTACATTTAATTGCCAGAGTGTTATTTAAATGTATTTTCAACTACTTATAACAATTCCTGCACCTTTTCAGTTGCATTAAATTATGAGATGTCATAAAAGAGTGTTTTCAACTTTCTTTATAACAAACATCCGAAAACCTCATAAGAAACTGTCAATGACTGCGTGAAGTGACAGTCCGGCTCAATGGCGCCGTCAATGTACACGTCAATCTGGAAAGTGCAGAATCTCTTCAAGAGCTTTATAAATTCAACAAAGATTGATTTTGCATACGACAAGTTTTATAGTGGTATTAAAACAGTAAGATGCACGTTTAAATAACATTTAAAGTTAAAAGCAAAAGAAAACTATTTTGCAAAATGTTGAATTTTAGGAAGTATGAACAAAACATCTTTAAACCGCATAGAAAGCATGGGATGTTTAATGCATCACTTATAATACATTAATACAACAAGCCGTTCTAATTCTTTTTCAGAAAGATGTTTTGTGTGTTACTTGGGTAAGTAATGTTAATATAACAATAGTATAGAAACCATAGGTTTCCGTGGTAAACATATTTTTTTTTTTTACAGAAACAGCCATTCAAATCTAATAACTCCTAGTGGGGGAACGGGGAGTAAAATGAACAACTTTTTTTTAAGCGGTAATTTATGTAAATTAATTAACAGTTAAAAGGTACATTGGTTGAAAACCTGTGCATTGCATTGATTGATATTGGAATGCAAAAGCACTTAAAATCGTCAATTGTTCATTTTACCATGTATGGCCATTTTACCCCCACTTTCCCTAACATTCAAATTTCAGCAAAGGGTAAGAATAAAAATCATTCAGATCGAAAAGTTTGAATTCATGACTAAAAACTGAAAATTTTATTGAATCTGCAGCGCGAACAAAAGGTGACAAAATCGGGAAAGCAATGTATGCAATTACCGCCCAATTAGAGCATATCGTAAATAAACATTAACAAAAATTTCTTCGAAAACATCAGCAAAAACCCAAATCTAGTTGTGCATAGCAACTATCGCTGAATAATTCGTCAACTAAATAAAACAAAAATCGATTGATAAAATATTAAGTACAAAACATTACAATCGTCATAGCTCAACCAACATATCGATACCACATATAAAACCGCCCAACCCTGAGTCGAACGATTCAAAGACACGTCAGCCTTATCCCACCGAGAACACAATGGCCCCATTCAACAGAACCATTGTCCGAAGAAATATAAAAGCTCCTGTGCAATCCCATTCCAACCATCAGTTTGTGCTTATCCGTTTGTACTCGTACCACGCAGTATCCTACGGCTCAAGATGAAATTCTTCCTGGCTTTCGTTGGCACCGTGTGCCTAATGGGTGGAATCCACGCTCAGATTGGCAACGTCGCCACCACAGTGGCAAGCGCCATCAGCACCTCGAACGCGAACCTCGCTTCCACGATACAAAGCGTGAACAGTACGATCGTCGCTGCCGACCAGATCATTTTGAGCTCATATGCCTCCTTCGGTAATAGCATGATTAATCTCTTCAATTCCTACTACACTAAGTATCAGACTTACACCAGCATCGATCTGAGCCCGATCACCAGCGCAATCAGCAACATGCAAAGTATGATGACCAGTCAACCCCAGCTGATGGCAGGTGACAGCTACAATGTCCAGCAAATATTCACCGAGGTCCAAACGAGCGCTCAGCAGATCCAAGATGCGCTCAACGGTGCTGTTACGACTATGACTAACGCTTGTGGATCCAATTGCGCCAGCACCAAAGCCGTTAAATGTGCCAATAAGTTCGGTGGCCAACTGAACAGTACTACGATCACTATTGATCGTGTCACTGCTTGTATTGCCGATGAAGCAACGCGTTACACTCAAATCGGTGCCGACACCGCTTCGCAGTACACGACCTCTCTAACCTTGGCTACGAACTACCTGCTGATGGATAGTATGTGCGATATTCCAGACGCAACTACCTTGAACAATCCATCCACGACCATGGGACCTCTGTCAACTCAATGTTTCTCAAACGTAAGATCAACCTCTTTCGAAGCCATTCCAAATTTGATTAATAATTTTCATTTTTTTTTTCCAATACAGTATCTCCAGCGGTTCACCAACGTTCCGATATATTCTTACACTACCGACATACCTCGCATGACCCAGACACAACTGATCTCCTTCCGTGCCAAGCGATGCGCCAAACTGGTTGCACTGGACATTACGGATCGCATCAACCAAATATCGGCCAAATACGCCGCGTGTCTGTAGATTGCCGGTTATTTCATTGTTTTGTAAAGGAAACATAACACATACAGTACGTTGAAATAAAATTATTTTATTATTGACTATATGTTTCTGATAAATCCATTTCATGCCTGTTGGTAAAACAAAACCTATGGTGTGATCTAACACAACGTACTTTTTTTTCCGCAGCCAGAAAGAGATTTCATACAATGATTTTTTTTAACTGATTCGTTTATTTACTAGGCTCAGTCGTGTGTGACACTTTCCAGAGCCAAAAATCAGTTAGGTTTGTATTTACATTTTAAACAGCAGTAGTTCTAGGTTAGTATTGGGTACCAATTACTCGTAACGGGCTCGAGGTTAATGAAAGATATTTCCGATATGATCCCGAGAAATGAACCCATTAGTTGGCGTGCTTTATTACGAATTGCCAAGGGTGTGTTCTTTCGATGGTTAATTTAGCATTCTATTAGCAGTTTTGGCATTGACTCTTATAATGATCATGCATTGGAAAGTGTTGATTAGACCTCTTTTTAGTTTTAAGCCTGTTCAAGATTTGACCAATCAAGCAAAATCGGTGAAGATTAAGAATCTTAACCGCTTCAAATGTATGATTTAATTTCAGCATCTTATATAAATAAGTTAACACGAGTTGCGAATTCTAGTTTGAATTGTTCTGATAGAGCAGTAATTTTTTATACTTGACTTTCCAATCATCTCGGTTTAAACTTTGTGAAAACTGTAACTCCTCAATGATTGTTTCTCTCCAAAGTCGCAAGTGAAACGCGATACAAAGGAAGAGAAAAACTACCATCAAAAACTTCAGTTTTCATTCATGAGCAATACAGTCCTGGAATCATAAAGCCGTACTCTTTGAAACCTGTGCCAAAATGTGCATCATCAATACGTTAAATTATTTCAGCTCCATATTCACTTGAAAATCCCATTATTACCATCGTAAATCAATAGTAAGCATACACAGATTTTGCAAGCTGCAACACGGATTTTGTGGATGGCAATCCGGTATGTAATGTTGTTAAAATATGAACGTAGATTTTCCTCGTCAAACGTCTTTGCTTGACAATCGTGGAATGCAGTCAAAACTAACAGGTTGCTATGTCACAGTGCATTGAATATTGAGCAAATCGAGTTACTCAGAGTTACTCAAAATTTACTCCAATATTACTCATTATCAAAAGCTGTCTCACCCCCAGGAAACGCCATTCGATTTCCTTCGTCCTACGGATAAACGTAGAAAAAAGGGATTCACTAGGAGCGCTTCTTTTGATTAGAGAACAATGAGCGTAAATATTCATACGCTCTAACAGGATTTATGTTGTAGCTAATGAACTAACGCATCGGAACAGACCTATTATTGATTTGTGCACGGTGAAATCATTGATATTATTGATCTTTTCTGCTCGATAGAACGGAAATGGGCGATTACGACGAAGTAGCGCTCTACCCTAATTAAATTATTTTTACTTTTTTTTTATTGACGAACCATCATATGTGGACCAACTCGGGGGCAACATGACAGCTCCAGTATATTGCCAGTGTACCCCAGCAATTTGGTGCTCGTGGTTCAGTCAAACTCTCAAATTTCAGAAGTATTATCTGAATAGGGCGAATTTGAAAATGATGTACGTGCCAACCAAAACGGACACGTAACGTCCGACGTAAAAAATAACATTAGCGACATATGAATTCCAGTGATGCCAGCAAGAAATGTCGTATTATGCACAATACATAATCGGTTTATGAAACTTTTTTTTAATTTGGTGTAGCGTATGTATTTGAGCAGTACAGAACCGAAAGCCTAAACATATGATTTGTGAAACAAAATTATATGATTGTCATCGAATTTATTGGAACAAATGAGAATTGATCAAGGATATAGCTAGTATCGTCGATGATGAACAAAGAAGAATGGTTTTGCAGCGAGTAAGAGCATGCTAATTATACGCAGCTAGCACTGCAAAATGTATAATTTGAGGTACAAGCTTAAAAAAGTACAACCAACCGGTGGATTCTAACGATTTACAATTGGCTTACTACTTGACTAGCTCATTGGTCCCAAGCAAATCGATTAACGTACCTCATTCTAGTCGAAATTCTAGTACTACACTATGTTTGTTTGGATTCGCTGTGAAAGTTTGACAGATGAAATGAGAAGTTCGTGGATTTTCCTATATTTCGAAGGGTGGATCGTTTAGCTTGGGACCGAAGATAGTACCAGAGCTGAGCCAAAAAGTTGAGCACGTTTCTTCGGGACCTTCTAGTCTTAGAGTTACCTATATGGTACAACCATAGAGGTAACTCTAAGACCACTGGGTCCCGAAGAAAATCATTATTATTTTTGGCTCACTCAGTACCAGAACAACGGTCCCAAGCAGTCCCAAGCTATTTCACTCACCCCTGCATGTTCTGCATGAATCCACACACCCCTGATGTTATCTGTCAAACTTTCATAGCGAATCAAAACAAACATAGTGTAGTAATAGAATTTCAACTAGAATAGGGTACGTTAATCGTTTGCTTGGGACCAATAGGCTACTAAAGTGGTGAGCCAATTTAAAATCGTTAGTTTCGTATTGATTGTTGGTACAACGGCGTACTTTGTACGTCTGTCGAAGACCTGTTAAGTTAGCATTTAAGTTAAATATGTATTGTTCAATTTGACTAAATTTTCAATTTTTTGCGACAACGGATCTACGACCATTCGTCAAAACTCAATTTTAGCAGATATTTTGGAAAATTCTGATTTACAACCACTTCACTTATATGATCAGTAAATTTTCCAGAGTTCTTCATGGTATTTATTTATTTATTTGCCGTCAATCAGTGCACAGTGGGCAAAAATGGACAAAACCGAGACTAAATTGAATATCTCGGCTGCCAAACGGTTTCAGTCAACATGTTATACATATTCGCAAAGGATAAACTCTCCTAAATCGATTGGTGGTGGTCTCATTGGCCGGAGACTTTTGTGTACCCAGATAGAGGGCCGGTATCAACCCGAGTTCCCAGTAATGTAAGAAATGCCACTATCTATCGGCATAATTTTACACTTTACTTAACGTATATTACTGGAAATTGATAGTACTAAGTATATATGGTGTAAAGACATCATATACGCCCTCAGGGAAACTCTATTGGCCTAAAGAAGTATCCGGAACGACCAATAAAGTGGCCACATTATAAAAATTGTCCTCGAACCTTGCGATTTTTTCTATGTTGTTCAGAATCAAGAGATCAAAGCGATTGCTTTCAGAGCCTGACATATTTGCCGATATTTTGAATTTTAGTAGAAATATGGTGCAAAATTTGAGATTAATCAGCAATCAGAAGACAAGGAATAAATACCGTTTCGTTAGAGGGGCTAGATGGGCCTAGATAAGTCTTTTAATTTTACACGTATCACAATACCTAAATTTTTTTTTTTCCCAACTTGTGCGGTAGACAAATGCTGAACCGAATGAGCAGAATTTTTCCTTTGAGAATATGTATAACCGTTTGGCAGCCGAGATATTCAATTTAGTCACGATTTTGTAATTTTTTGCCCAGTGTGCAGTGTAGACCGTGATTTGAGTTGTCATTGGCATTATTCCCATAACTGTGTAACTAAATAAAAGAACATACAAATTTATGGACTCATCTATTTCTTGAGGCTTCAAGTTTAGTGATACGGACGTGTGCAACAAAAGACAATCACTTCAGTCCGCATCCTGCTCTCTTGCCGTGCGGATCTATTTGCTTTTTGCTGAAGGAAGAGTTACTATTACCTAAAGCTACAACAAATTTAAACAGCACTTTTCAGTGCTCAACCTGTAAATTTTCTACCTTGTTCAACTCTTATTCCTCTGCGATCCTTGTTTGGACCCTACGCGAGGTAATCCTTCTTGGATATCGATTTGGAAAATTCCTCTTCGATCCTTCAGATTCTTATAGGAATCTGCTTGGAAGTCGATTTGGATAAAAATTTACTGCCGCCATGGCGCCTAAACGCAAAAGAAAGGGGCAAACTCTTGATCCCCCTTCTGATGAAATTAATTTGAGTAATCAATTTGATTTGCTCACGGATGATGAGAATGATCCATCATCCAAGAAAAATTCTAGTAAACGTTCTCGGCTTAATGCCAAGAAGGAAAATATTCCCCCTATTGTGATAACCACTTCCGATTTCCATGCTCTTCGCATGGAACTTTTTCTTTTTTTTCCCTTGGTTTGTTTTTTCCGTCGATCTTGTTTTCCGTGCTGAGCACCAATGCTACTGACGTGCCAGGAAGGCAGCTCCCACACCTGGACCCTACCTATCGACCCATCAACTCATGAACCGGGGACCAGCGGCTTTACTTCCCATCCGAAGGAAGGCGTGATCAGAGATGTTATGCCTCAGAACATCCCGGCGGCGCCGACTGGGATTGAACCCAGGCCTGCTGGGGTGAGAGGTAATCACGCTTACCACTACACCATCGGCGCCGTTGCATGGGACTTTTGAATTTCGTGAAAATTAAGTTTTCACTACAAATTGGACGTCGGGGTGAATACCGTGTATGGGCTGAAACCTTGGACGGGTTTAAATGTCTTCTCAAGTATCTTACTGAGAAGCAGCACAATTTTTTTACTTACGACACCAAAACTGAACGTGTGTTCAAGGTTGTCATGAAAGCACTGCCCAGTGGTGAATCCCTGGATCAGATCAAAGATGAACTGGCAAAATTACTTGGAGTTGTGCCACTCCAAGTAATCAAAAAGAAAATGAAATCCCGTCCTGGCGATTCGCGCAACGGGATTTCTAATGATTTTTATTTAGTTCACTTCAAGTCTAGTGAACTAAACAACCTTAAGGCCTTAGAAAAAGCTAGCCTTATGCTCCATGTCCGAGTGAAGTGGGAACACTTCAGGAAGACTGGAGGAAATTTCTAAAACCTCACCCAGTGCCAGTTGCTACATGCCACCTAAATGCATGAATTGTGGTGATTCCTCTCACTCAAAGGACGACTGTCCTGTGAAGGAAGTTCCTAAGAAATTTAAATGTTCAAATTGTGGTGAAAACCACAAATCCAATTTTTGGGAATGTAAGACTCGCAAAGCGATCCTACAATCTCGTTCTAACCGACAGGTAGGAAACGCTCCACGTTTCCGACCAGGTACAAATTCTTCTGCTGTTAACAACGGTCAGCGAGGAACAAATTCTACATTCGTACCCGTAGGTACAAATATCACCCCTGCTTAAAAAATTTCATCTATACCTACTCGCCTCGCTGCTAACAATGTTCAGCGAGTTAATGGAGCTATCTATGCTGCTATTGCAGCGGGTGGAAATCATAATACTAACCAACGTAGTTCTAACGGAAATTTTGATAATTTTGACTTAGGAAGCATTACTGCCCCTAAAAAGGATTTTTTACAGAAATCATTAATTGACATGATTTCTGATATGCTTAAATCTAACTCCATGTTTGATGCTATTCAAACTGGAGTAAAATTTGCAAATAATATTGTCATGACTTTAAAATTCAGTAATGGATTTTAAAGCATTAAATATTGTAAATTGGAATGCTCGATCTCTTAAAGATAATGAAGACGAGCTATTTAACTTTTTGCGAGTTCATAACGTGCATATTGCCGTTATAACTGAAACGTTCCTTAAACCTGACCATAAGGTTAAGAAGGACGCAAATTATTTGGTTGATAGAAATGATCGTCTTGATGGACCCTGTGGTGGCGTTGCCATCATTGTTCATAGACGAATCAAACATAAAATTCTTTCTTCATTTGAAACCAATGTTTTTGAAACTTTGGGGGTTTCTGTTGAAACAAAATTTGGACAACTTACGTTTATAGCTGCCTATTCGCCATTCCAATGCGTAGGCCAGAAAAAGAATTTTCTCAAGGGTGACCTCCAGAAACTTACCCGTCATAGGTCTAAATTCTTCATTATTGGTGATTTTAATTCAAAACACCACTCATGGAATAATGCTCAAAGCAATTCCAATGGTAATATTTTGTTTGATGATTGTTCTGCAGGTTATTAACTATTCAATATCCAAACAGCCCAACATGCTTTTCTTCTGCAAGAAATCCCTCCACTATTGATTTGGTCTTAACTGATTCATGTCAACTGTGTAGCCAACTGGTTACCCACGCTGACTTCGGTTCGGATCACCTTCCAGTAACTTTTGAAATATCCCAAGAAATAATTTGTAATCCCAACAGCTCTACTTTCAATTACCATAGAGCTGGTTGGGAGCAATATCGAACATTTATGGAATGTAACTTCGATCCAAACATTCTTTTGCAAACCAAAGATGAAATTAATTATGCTCTTGAATCTCTGACTACTTCTATAGTTAAAGCAAGAGCTGCCTCAGTACCAAAATACGAGGTTAAATTCGATTCAATTATAATAGACGACGATCTTCAGCTCTTGATCCGTCTTAAAAAATGTCCGTAGGAGACAATATCAAAGAACACGCGATCCTGCCATGAAAGTTATCTGGCGGGATTTACAAAAACAAATTAAAAAACGATTCTCTGCCCTGAGGAACAAAACTTTTGAAAATAATGTTTCTAAATTAGACCCGAGTTCCAAAACCTTTTGGAAACTCACAAAAATTTTGAAAAAACCTCAAAAGCCTATTCCAGCGCTTAAAGAAGGTGGTAAAATTTTGATCACAAATTTAGAAAAAGCTCAGAAACTTGCTCAGCAATTCGAGAGTTCCCATAATTTCAGTTTGGGTCTTACTAGTCCTATTGAGAATCAGGTTGCTCGGGATTATCTGAATATTTTCTCTCGGGAAAATATTTTTGATGATTCCTGGGGGACTGATTTGGACGAAGTAAGGTCTATAGCTAAAAAGTTTCAAAATATGAAAGCTTCAGGTGATGATGGAATTTTCTATATCCTCATCAAAAAACTTCCAGAGAGTACCTTGTCTTTCTTGGTAAAATTATTTAACAGATGTTTCCATTTGGCATACTTTCCTGATAAACGGAAAAATGCAAAAGTTGTTCCAATTTTGAAGCCGGATAAAAATACAGCTAAAGCTTTTAGATACCGTTCAATAAGTTAGCTTTCTTCAATAAGTAAACTTTTTGAAAAGATAATTTTGAATAGAATGATGCTTCACATCTATACGAACTCAATTTTTGCAGATGAGCAGTTTGGATTTCGCCATGGGCATTCAACTCTTAAGAGTTACCAATTTAATTCGTTCAAACAAATCTGCAGGCCACTCAACTGGAGTTGCTCTTCTAGACATAGAAAAAGCATTCGACAGTGTTTGGCATGAAGGTTTGATTGCTAAATTGAAAAGTTTAATTTTCCATTTTATATCATGAAATTAGTTCAAAATTATTTAACTGACAGAACTCTGCAGGTAAATTATCAAAATTCCAAATCTAATCGTAGCTCCTCAGGGTAGCATTCTTGGGCCTATATTGTATAACATTTTCACTTCGGACCTCCCTGATTTGCCTCAGGGTTGCCACAAATCTTTGTTCACTGATGACACAGGCATTTCCGCTAAAGGAAGAAGTCTTCGTGTTATTTGCAGCAGACTGCAGAAAAGTTTAGATATTTTCTCTTCTTATTTACAAAAATGGAAGATTTCTCCCAACGCTTCCAAAACTCAACTTATTATATTTCCACATAAGCCTAGAGCTTCGTTTTTGAAACCTAGTAGTAGTCACATAGTGACTATGAACGGAGTTCCAATTTCCTGGTCAAACCAAGTGAAATATCTTGGATTAGTACTTGACCAAAAATTAACTTTTAAAGATCACATCAAGAGCAAATTTTCATTATGTCCTAAGTAACATTCGCACCAATCCGAGAAAAATAAAGTTTTGTTTTGATGACCGAAAAGTTATTCCTATTTCCAAGTAAACACATATAATCTCATAGTGATAGCAATGTTTAACATGTTTAGCAGGGTTTTAATCATACAAATGCAAATCACTAGCTTTCATGCTAAAAAATACTGGTTTTTGAGTTAAAAGTTATTATACGTCGTTTGGTGGCCCCTATTGTTACTTAAGTCAAAGTGTATTTACCAGGATATTCGGGAGAATTATCAATTACGTCTCCTTACGTGCAGCCCATTCATCATTTTAGGACTACCGAAATCATCTTAGCAACAAACAGTTCGATTTATTCACTTTAATAATGAGAAAGCGAAACGACGAACGTACACTTTTCACGGGTTTCTCAGCGCTGTTACTTAAGTCAAACGGCATCTCCATAGAAATTGGGTGACTTAAGTAACATCGAAAACTATTTTGATCGGAAGGTGATTACGTCAAAAAGCAATTTGACTGGCAAATAAATTTAAAAATGTGATTTGATCCTATATTCGGACAGTATATAGTGTAATAGCAGGAGAATCGATTGACACTGATAGCTCGACTTTGTTTACCTTTGTTACATTCGACGTTATGAAAATTTGCTCTTGACATTGCCAAGCCAAATGTAACAAATATATAAAATTTTTGTATCCACTCATAAACAGGAAATCCAAACTTTGCCTGACGAATAAACTTCTAATATTTAAACAAGTTTTTAGACCGGGTCTCTCGTTGATTACTCGGAATTCAAGGCACACCTACACAAACCAACATATTCATCGGGAAGGAGAAGTCTTCCTCTACTCGATGGTGATGTCGATTTACCAGGGAGAGCCATGGCTTCCGAGAAATCATCGAGAGAATTCATTGTTTACAAAAGCTGTTACGCCCTAATTCCAGCTCCATCTAGAATTACAGTTTTTCAATGCAGACTATAATTGTCAATTTGCAGAAAACTTAGCATGCCTATTATTTAAATTATGTCGCATGGTGAAATGGTTGCATTAAAATAACAATAATTTTTTAGCAATGGTACATACTAAAACGTTTATTTCCCATTTAAAAAAGCTTAACCCATTGTTGTCTGCGGGTACATGCACTGACTGAATTGCATCTGCAGGTTTTGGATGGCATCTTGGACATTGGAACTAATCAACTGTCCGCACAAATTATTACGCTGCATGGCATCTTGTTGATAGTTGGTGAGCAGGCTTTGTGCCAGATACAATTCCATGTTTACGTTATTCAGCTCCATGCTGATGTCCATGAAGTACTGAAACAAAAATATAAAATTGAAATCATCCAATCCATAGAAACAAATCGATCATTCTTACCGCATCGATGCAGTTGGTAGAGGTGGAAGCACAGATCTTCAACTGTTTGTTCAAAGAAATCAGATCGTTCTTCACCATCGTAAGGATGGCCTTTAGAGGTGCCACCACAGTCGGAACAGTGTCTACCTCCGTCTGCAAACATTGACCGAACTTGGCCAGCTGAACGGGAATGTTGCTGGACACCCCAGCGAATTGCACCGAACAATCATCACCATTTTGTTGGTACGAGAATGAATTGGCCAGCATGCTATAGCTTTGCATGATTTGGCTGATAGTTTGTTGCAGCTGAGAAGTCAGCTGGTTCAGATCATTGCCAATGGTTGAGCTGACCATTTGATCTGCGTAGGTAAACTGTTGAGAGAACCACTCTACGTTTGACAAAATGCTCTGCATGCCTGTTTGGGTAGCACCATATGAGCTGTTCAAAGCCGTATAGGTGGTGTTGACGTACAATTGAAGACTGGAGATCGCTGGCATTACCTTGTTGCGAGCGTTATTTAGATTTTTGTAGTAGGTGTTGACGACTTTGCTGATACTCTGGAGACTGGCGGCCATTGAGTTCAGCCCATCGGATCCAACAGATACGGCCGAATACATTGTGAAGACTCCTCCGCACAGGGAGCCCAGCACACAGACTAACGCCAACCAGTTCTTCATTATCTTAACGGATTGCTCTGCAGTACACAGTCTAGATGAAACACCAGGTAAGAACTGATACTGGATGGGATGATCTGGAATGGTTTTTATAGCGAGCGATCGATTCGAAGTTAATGAAAGAAGGTAATTGTTATGATCAGCAGATGGAAAAAAAAACCTTGATTATGCCGGTGCTAAACTTTGGCGGTTTCCTTCAGTTAGTGGGAATAATGCTCTATTTGAAAAACAGTTTCAAATAGTATCAATACAATAATGAACCAATCAACTATTAACACTGAAAATTGATAACTGATTGTTCTTATGTGTTCTGTTGGACTTCAAAATAAATTTGAAGGAAGTCTACGAACTCCTACGAATAACGAGAAAAGAGGCTATCATTGTTGATTGGGCTTTTTCTTAGTTGTAGTAGCCATGTTACAATTGTTCAATTATTTTCGATCGAACACGCACATTTGTTTTTTTTTTTAATGGTTCGAACAGTTTGAACGAAAACAAGAATATGAATGATTGCCTGTATCAAATTCAGCTCAAAACATGTCTACGTGACAATATAGGATACAATAAATGGCGGCATAATTTTAATTTCTCTGTTGGTAATAAAAATTCACTGAAACCAGTAACTGATCTATTGTGTTATAGCCCAGGTCTGTATGTATATTCAATGTTTGTCGTATTATTAAACGGCTTATAATAAGCATAACTGTCCCGTCACTGCCTGAGTTCCTATTGTTACGGAACATTGAAGATTCAAGATCATCCTCGATCACTGCGACACGTCATAAAACGTAACGTAACGTTGGAAATATCGACTTACGTAAAGTATATACGATGCATAGATTGATGAATTCATCAAGTACCTATCTATCAGAAAATATCGATTCTCAAAATATAATTAAACTACAAGGGCATAATCAGCCGTATGAGTCAAAATATTAATGCCACATGGCAAGCAGATGAACGTTGTGTCGAATGAAGCTGATGTACAAGCACACGCTACCATTATCACACCGAGAGCACAATAGCCCCCATTCAGATAAACCTTTACCCAACGAAATATAAAAGCTCCTGTACAATCCCCTTCCAGCCATCAGTTCTCATCCGTTTGTACTCCTACCAAGCAGTATCTTACGGTACAAGATGAAATTCTTCCTGGCTTTCGTCGGCATCGTGTGCCTGATGGGTGGAATCCACGCTCAGACTGGATACATTACCGACACCGTATCAAGCGCCGTCAGCATCTCGAATGCGAATCTAGCTTCCACAATCCAACGGGTCAATGGCACTATCGTCGCTGCCGACCAGATCATTTTAGCCTCATGGACCCAACTCGGTCAGGACTTGATCGATCTGTACAACTCCTACTACAACCAGTTCAATGCTTACACTACCATCGATCTAAGCCCGATCACTAGTGCCATCAGCAACGTGCAAAGTATGATGACCACTAAGCCCCAGCTGCTGGAAGATGACACCTACTATGTCCAGGAAACATTCACCGAAGCCCAAACGAGTGCTCAGCAGATCCAGTATTCGCTTACTGCAGCTGCTGTGAATATGACTTCCGCTTGTGAATCCGTTTGCGATAATCGCTATGTCGGTAAATGTGCAAAGAAGTACGCTGGTCAACTGAGCACTGCTCCGATCAGTGTTGACCGTGTCACGGATTGTATTGCAGCCGAAGAAACACGCTTCGCCAATATCGGTGCCGACGTCGCTTCGCAGTACTCGAATGCGCTACCCATGGCTATGAACTACCTGTTACTAGTAAATATGTGCGACATTCCATCACCAGCGGTCCTGAACAATCCATCCACGACCATGGGACCTCCGTCAAATCAATGTTTCACGAACGTAAGATTAGTCTCTTTCGAAGACAATCCAACTTTCATTAATCAATTTCAATTTCCCAATACAGTATCTCCAGCAGTTCAGCAGCATTCCGACATACTTCTACTCGGCCGACTTTACTCGCATGGCACAGACACAACTGGTTTCCTTCCGTGCCAAACGATGCGCCAGACTGGTTGCCCTCGACATTCAGGATCGTATCAACCAAGTGGTGGATAAATTCTACAATTGTCTGAATACTGGAGTTTAATGTTATGTTTGTTTTTCAAGCACATCAGATAATACAGTACCGATGAAATAAAATGCTTTTAAATGGAGTGATGATTAGGAAAAAATTTCTCTGATAGAAAAAAAAAACTATATTTATTTATATTAACCCAATTAACGCCCAAGGTGTTTTACAATTGATAAATAGCAGTGGTAGGGACATGTGAAATAAGCTGAATAAAACAAATTTTCGTGAATTTTTTTTTAAATTCTATGGTAACGTTCAAGGAATCAAAAATATCTCCAAATGACAAAATGACAAGCGATCAACGAACCGAATAATAACGCTATGTCAGAAGTGCAAAGCAATAATGATATAATCTTCTTCCTTCTTTTTCATGACAAGCAGCGCGTGCGACACAACTCACTCGGGGCAGTAGAAGGAAACGAGCAAATTGTTGGAAAGCTGCTTCACGAAGTAGCTGTGTGTTAATAGGAATTGTTTTGTTATGTCTTTTCTCGATTCATAACAAGCTATGTACTCATCCGTGTTTATTGCAACAAAGCAGGCAAGCAATATATCATTATCATTCTACCACTCGGATCCAGCTATGTTACAGAGCGAGTTTGTCATGGTAGTCGTAGCAACCGTTTTGTCTATATCGTTGGTTGCTTTATGTGTTTGGATTCGCTGGTAACGTTAAAAAAACTTTAAATTGACTCAGTCAGACTCAGTCAGTCATTAATAACTCAGCTGCCCCTGAATCAATTTCAATAATTTTATGATGATTTTCAACAAGAAACTATTGAAAAAGTGGTAATGTCAAGCATTATCCAAAGTACAAATAAAAAGTGAATATTTTTTCACTGTTTTCATGAAATATACGCTGTTCCCAAACGCAATCGTCATAATCGAGTAGGGTAGGATGGTGCAAAACGCACCGTTTAAGCAAAATCGTCAATTGCTGGCGTATGGAAGCTAAAATCAAGAAGAAAGTAAAGGTGTTTGGTTCATTACCATGTTTTCTACGAAGATCAAGTGATTTCGAACTACAGAACGATGCATTTTCATGATTTTCAAGGTATTTTATAAATTGGTTCCAATATGATAGCGGGGCAAAACGCCTGATTCATGGTGATCTGACGCCTGATGATTATTCCTTTATGTTACATCAGAAATAAGGTCGCAATAGAGTGTTAAACTGTGATTCATTAAGTAAAACATCTAAAAAATATACGAAAAGTGAATTAGTTCAATTTTTGCGATATATGCTGTTAAAAGCTTAATTTGAAGTCGACGATTTTAACAACTGTATCATATTTTGCACAAAATGCTATTTTTTAAGGGAATCAGTAGGTCAATATATGATTTTATGGTCAAGAATCATTTGCGAAACCTCCAGTTGAAAACAAACACAATCCGTTACCCGGAAAATGCATCTGAGGAAAAGTTATCGCTGTTTTTCTATAAGTGGGCATTTTACCCCAGGGGTGCATTATGGGCTGTTCTCCCTTACCACTTGGTTGCACATCATTCTGCTTTAACCTGAAAAGATATATAACAACGCTGCTGTCTAGCCTCAACTCATCCGTTCGGTTTGAGCTCGCTCTCGTGAGTTGTTCGGAAAGTATTTTTTTAGTTAGTGTTCGCGCTCTTTCTTTCGTGGTTTGTCGTGCGCTTGCGAAGCCCGGTGAAGAACTAGGACCCCGGTGAAGGAAGCTCCGGTGTGCCTACATCCAGCGTTGCCAGGTCATTTTCAGAAAAATCTGTACCAGTTAAAATATAAAATCTGGAAAAATCTGAAATGCTCCTAAAAATCCTGTTTTTAACATAATGCTATTGAAATCAAAGTGATGTGCCAATCTCCCGTAAAACTCGGCCAGCATGATCATCTGGAATTTATTTAAAGTACTAGAATGGTTATGAATTACATGTTTAAATAAATTATATAAAGCAAATATTGACACAGTGTGTACCAGAATATAAAGATTTTATTAGTTCTAAATAATTCTAATATTACCCTGAAATTCATCAGATTTACAACACCCAATAGACCAGTAGGCAATTTTATTTTGAAGCAAAATTCACCTGGCCGAATTGGGAATGAAAGCCTAATATCGTGGTACCCCCACAAAGTTTACCTAAACTACGAGTAACTCCACTATTCGCATGACCATTACGAATAATTTTATGCCAAAGAATTAATAAAATAAAAGTCTGATAGCGTCATTTTTGAAGTCTCAGGATCTTGAAATGATTATAAATTCCGGAATTTCGATTTTTCCTGGGTCCCAGATCATGACATTTTTTGTTTGTCTGAATTTTCTTGGAACTCTTCACAGGATATCTTCAGCCCTTTTTTTCGAGTTCCATTGGAATGCTCCTAGAATTTCGTCTTACTTATTTTCTGGGGAATCTAATCTAATCTTGATAATATCCAAACTTTTACAGTAACATTCTAAGAGTTCATAGCATTACCTCTTATAAATTACTCTCCAATTCCACAATTCCCTCAATATGGTAATAATTCCCAAGAATTGGCATAAATTTGTGCCCATTTTTCCCTATGCAATTCTTAAAATATTCTTAATAATTTCCTTGCCGCACTTTTCAGAATGACCGTCTACTCTTCTCATACTTATCCGATAATTACCTTTAAACTGCCTTTAAGCTCAGAATTATTTTGAAATCTTCTTCAGCATTTCCTAAGTAGTCAGTTACTTTGCCAAAATGGCCTTGAAAGTCTCCCAGAAATTGCGCATAATTTCGTTAAAATATCTTAAAATTTTATTAAAATGAATTTCCATAGAAACATTGGACAGGATTCCATTGAAATTATTCTCACAATTCGCATACTACTTAAGTTTCATCATATTTTTTTTTTCTATGATTTCTCTTCCGGATTGTATTTCCTACATTTACAAAATCTCCTAGCAATTGTCATCATAGTTGACAAGACAATTGACGTCATCTTCAACCAGAGGTTGCACAGACTGAATATTTACCACTAGACAACGGACAACACACCACACCTATTAGAACAGTAGGGAAATTTTTAGATTGCTAATATTTGCACCGGCTGGAGTGGGAATCGAACCCTCACTTCGTGGCACTTACAGTACGCCTGAACGACGGGTGACGCCCACAAAGATGGATGGAACTCTACTCAGAATTGGCTTGAAGTTCTCCTTTGATTTCCCAAGGAATTCACCTCACACTTCACTGTGAACTATTTTCAGAAATACCTTAAAATTCCAATAATGTCCAACGTTGATGGCCTTTAATAATAAGAGTAGCAAGTTTGGATTTTAATTTTTTTTACTAGAGGGTAAATCAATTGCAGTGATATTTTTAAACAACATGTTTAAAAAAATCTGGGAAAATCTGGAACATATTTAAAAAATCTGGAAACATACGTGGGGTGTCTGTGTATCTGGCAAGACGACTAAAAATCTGGAAAATCCAGATAAATCTGGAACACTGGCTACGCTGCCTACATCGAACAGGTTTGCTGTTCTTCCCAGCCAGCTGCAAAAGGAAAGCGGAGCAAGAAGAGGAAGAATAATCGGGGCCAGTCCGATTGCACGATTTCTCGCGACGATGCCACTGCGACGAACGGCAGTGATGTCGGATATTTCGGTGACGTTACCGACATAAGCACGGCAAAAGTAAATCTACCTCCGTTGGTAGTAAAAAATGCCCTTCTTAACGATCTCATCGCAGATCTGGCGTCGCTGGGCGTAAAAGCCGAATTCAAGTTGGGCAGAGTCGGCACCAAGGTAATGCTCCGTACGAAAGCGGAGTACGACTTGGTCGTTACCCACCTGAGGGCTTTCAAGGTGGAATTCTTCACCCACGACCCATTCAACGTCGTCATCAAAGGTCTACCGATCTTTGACCCGAAGTTGATCGAAGTGGATATCAAGAACCGCTACAAGCTGGTCCCAACTGCCGTCTTCCGGATGACAAGGAGGGACGAGAACGTCAAGAGGCATCCGGATTGCCTTTTCCTGGTGCATTTCCAGAAGGGAACGGTGACGCTCAATGCGTTGAAGGCCATCGGCTCCATCAATTCCATCATTGGACGATGGGAGCCATACCGTGGCGGCCGTCACGACGTCACCCAGTGTCAGCGTTGCCTGAATTTCGGGCATGGCACCCGAAACTGCTTCGTCAATCCGCGCTGTGGCAAATACGCCCAAAACCATTTCTCCTCCGAGTGTGTTGTCGACGAGTCGGAAACGGCCGAATGCGCCAACTGTGATGGCGCTCATCAAGGGTCCGACAAACAGTGCTCCAAACGCGAAGATTTTAAGCGGATCCGAAAGCAGGCGTCCTCAAGAAATCAACTAGGACGAAAGAACGACAATACGCCGGCATTCAGAGTGGAGGACTTCCCACGTCTTCCTGCTACGCAACACGGTCAAGCAAATCCGCGGGTGCAATCCGGCCCCCGTCAAGAAACGTCTGGTGCTTCTGCTGGACAAAGCTCCCCATCCCCCCTGGATTCTGGAGACAACCATCAGCACAAAACGTCAATCCCGATCTCTTCTCTGCGGATAAGCTGATGAAGATTTTCGTCGACATGACCAGCGCTCTTCGTCAGTGCCACAGCAAGCCCGAACAGATCCAAGTGCTCGGTAAGTTTATTATTCAGTATGGTGTCTAAACCGATAACTGTCGTCACATGGAACACATGCTCTGTAAGAGCAAAAAGATTCGAGCTTGCTGACTTCCTCCGTTAGCATAGTATCGACGTAGGCCTCCTAACAGAGACCCATCTTAAATCCGGTGACAGCTTTTGGTTGCCTGATCACCACATTATCCGACTTGATCGTATCGACTCCAGGGAGTGTGGTGTTGCGATCATCATCAAGAAAGGATCAAGTTCTGCACGCTGCCGCATATCCGCACTTCTAACATCGAGGCCCTTAGTGTGGAGGTGGAATCACCAACGACTAAAATATATACGTACCCTAATTAACAAAGCACAAGCAATACAAAATCTCAAATTGGCCACTAAATACTACAGGGGTGCACCAATAAACAAAAAACAAGTTGCAATAGAAATGAAGAAAAAGGCAATAAACAAATAAAAAGCATCGTTTAATAATTTGAATGTGAGCGGTAAACATGGCAAAAAGGGCAATAGTAAATACAATACGCTCAATTAAATAAGGATGAATCTCCACTAAATTAGGAAATTTGAGCACTAAATAACTCACTTTCGTCACCTGCAGTTGAAGATATTTTCCCATAAAAGTGGCAAAATGAGCAATGTCATATTGAATAACCGCAATAAATAAATCTAAAATGTCCCACACAAAGCGCACAAATATCACTGTTTTAATCCAATTATGCTGTAAAATCGTGATTATTTCCCCAAGAAAAAAATGAAAATATCTTTTAAAAACTGAAAAAGTTCCAGGAATCAGAAGATAAATGTATGCTTGAACATGAGGATGAGCCATCATAAAATATGAATCGTTCTTAAAGAAAAGAAAATAATTCATGCAGGAAAATAAAAATGAGCAATTAAAAACGAACACTGCGCAATATAAAATAAAACAAAATTACAATGATATTCAGAAAATATTCCTTTAAATTGAAAGTTTATGAGCCAATAACCCAGATAAATTTCCATATGGTATTTTCAAGACAGCGATAAGTAGTGATACTGTGTCTTGGCTAACAAAGTCGATGTCGATAAAGAAGATTGACGAATGGGGGCCTCATTGAAAAAGGTACCATTAAACAAAATAAAAAGAGCACTAAAAACATCTGTTTGAGCAATATATACGTCACAAAAGAGCACTAAAAAATGCCATTTGAGCAATATAAAGGTAAAAAAAAGACACAAAAAGCACAATTAATGTCCCAGGGAAAATTTCAAAAACGCTCAACAAAAAATAAGAAATGAGCAAGAAACGTATAAAATTAGCACTCTGAAAAATAAATTGAGCATTTTATTGGCCAATTTAACGGTCAATTTAAATATGTGTTAGTTGATAACACCTCAGCCGGTGGCGCCCATAGTTAATTTCCTTGCGTTTGACGTTTACACATGTACAAAATGTACAAGATGCGAGTGTTATGTCTGTTTGTCTATGGTTCGATGAAGATTAACAGGTTTACAAAAGATATTGTTTTCGTTCTTAGTGACCTTCATGGCCAATAAAATGCTCAATTTATTTTTCAGAGTGCTAATTTTGGCATTTTCTAGTGCTCTTTTGTGACGTATATATTGCTCAAACAGATGTTTTTAGTGCTCTTTTTATTTTGTTTAATGGTACCTTTTTCAATGAGGCCCCCATTCGTCAATCTTCTTTATCGACATCGACTTTGTTAGCCAAGACACAGTATCACTACTTATCGCTGTCTTGAAAATACCATATGGAAATTTATCTGGGTTATTGGCTCATAAACTTTCAATTTAAAGGAATATTTTCTGAATATCATTGTAATTTTGTTTTATTTTATATTGCGCAGTGTTCGTTTTTAATTGCTCATTTTTATTTTCCTGCATGAATTATTTTCTTTTCTTTAAGAACGATTCATATTTTATGATGGCTCATCCTCATGTTCAAGCATACATTTATCTTCTGATTCCTGGAACTTTTTCAGTTTTTAAAAGATATTTTCATTTTTTTCTTGGGGAAATAATCACGATTTTACAGCATAATTAGATTAAAACAGTGATAACTGTGCGCTTTGTGTGGGACATTTTAGATTTATTTATTGCGGTTATTCAATATGACATTGCTCATTTTGCCACTTTTATGGGAAAATATCTTCAACTGCAGGTGACGAAAGTGAGTTATTTAGTGCTCAAATTTCCTAATTTAGTGGAGATTCATCCTTATTTAATTGAGCGTATTGTATTTACTATTGCCCTTTTTGCCATGTTTACCGCTCACATTCAAATTATTAAACGATGCTTTTTATTTGTTTATTGTCTTTTTCTTCATTTCTATTGCAACTTGTTTTTTGTTTATTGGTGCACCCCTGTAGTATTTAGTGGCCAATTTGAGATTTTTCATTGCTCATTTCGCTTTTTTTATTGATGATTAATTGTGCTGCCAATCACCAACCGGAAACGTCAGTGTGCTGCCAGTAATGGATTAGGCATCCAATTCAAGCATGGTATGACCACCATCACTCGCACGAGCTCACGGTTCGTCATTGGGGGCGATTTAAATGCCCGCCACGAAGCATGGCGGAACTATCAGCGGAATCAGAACGGACGTCTACTCTTCGACCACTCACAGCATGGGCTGTATACAGTGAAATTCCCTGATGAACCGACATTCATCTCTCCGACGGGAAACCCTTCCATGTTGGACTTTTTTCTATCGAACTTTGGACTATCCAAACCGATGGCGATCAACGATCTCAGTTCCGACCACCAACCGGTGGTGGCTGAAGTCGACACCCACGTGGCACCTGCTCAAAGCCTGCGCAAAGACTACCATCATGTCAACTGGATGCAGTCAACTGGGCATGTGGTTGACAGAAACATCGATGAAAATCCCCCGCTTGACACCGTAGAGGACATCGACCGGGCACTGGAAGGACTCCACCAGGCCATATCCGTGACTGACGAGACGTGTGTTCGACAAGTTCCTGTGAGGGGTAAGTTTGTTGCCATTGATTCCCACACCCAATTACTGATTCGCTTGAGAAATGTGCGTAGACGCCAGTTTCAGAGGACTGGAGATCTAGCGAGGAAACGTGAAATGACCAATCTGAACAGGCAGATTGCTTCCAGAATGGACTCACTCCGAAATGAAAGTTTCGGGCGTGTTGTCCAGAATCTGGATGACCGCTCCCGTCCATTCTGGAAGGTAGCCAAGGTGCTGAAAACTCATCCCAAACCCGTTCCACCTCTCAGAGTCGGAAATGACCACTTTGTCAAGCAGTTTTGGCGTGACTTTCTACCAGCGATTTCACAAAACTGGACCAACTAATTTCTATTTTTTTATGAAACGCACAAATGTTGGCTACTTTTCTCGAGGTTCTAGAAGAAAAAATCTCAAAATAATGTTTCATTTCAAAGTTCGAGTGGTAGTAAACGTCATTTTATCTGCTCGAATGAAGTGGTTAAATGATGACAATCGGCTCATAACCCCACAAGAGAAAGCAAATGCGATTGGCAATCATATTGCTGCATCGCATTTCTGGATCAATAATAGAAAAGGGCCCATCAGCATTTGTAAACAAACCGTTCCAAAGCCCATTCCTCACAAATCGAAGGCCACCCACACAAACCAACACCATCATCGTGTAGGTGGAAGTTTCCCCTATTCGATGATGGTGTTGGTTTGCGTGGATGGCCCTCGCTTTGTGATGAATGGGCTTTGGAACGGTTTGTTTACAAATGCTGATGGGCCCTTTTCTATTGTTGATCCAGATTTGCTTGACTCAACTATCCAAAGTCCGCTCGAAAATCAGGTGACGCAATGCGTCCAAAATGTAGATTACTCCCCTTGTGCCGTGCCTCCGGAGGATAGAATTACGGTAGAAAAGATTTGCTCAGTGCTGAAATATTCAAAGAATATGAAGGCCCCCGGTTTTGACCGAGGGGGCGACACATCTAAATCTCAATTCTAGATGGTTAAAAAAATCTCACACTAGCGAATAAATCTTCGAAAAATCTTCTTTCATTTCTCGCATCTACTTGTATCGCGCATCATCTTTTTGCAGGAAATCTTCAAAATCGTGATAAATCTTCTTTCTATCTACTCAGCGTACGCGCAGCTAGCCACAGCAAAACACAATATTTCCTGCATCGTAGATAGAGTCGTCCCCCTCGGTTTTGACGGCGTATTTAACCTAATCATAAAAAGGCTTAGCAAGAAAGTCTATGCAGTTTTAACTGCCATCTTCAACAGACGCTTGGAGCTGCACTACTTTCCAAGCATCTGGAAGATAGCAAAAATAATACTGATCCGCAAACCCGGTAAAGATCCAGCATTGCCGTCAAGCTACCAGTGTCTGTTTTTATCATTTACCATCACATGCAAGGAGTATCGCTTCAACCCAGTGTCGATGAATTGCGTTTGTTTTGAACATCTTCGTAGTTACGAAACGAGCGAAATGAACAAATAAGTTTATTATACATCAACGAATACGCGTTTGTTGATATTCACCAGTGCTCGATTATCAAACCCAAAATTGTCAAAATCAGAAGTGATCCTCAAAAGCAAAATAATCAACGACATTTTGGGCAAAATGATTATTTTGAATATTGTCGACCACACTGCCTAAATCATCGATATTATCATAAGTTCAGCTTGAGGCAATAATTTTCCGTCGACTTATGTCTAAAAACCACGTTCTTCAGCGCTATATTTGTTTACAATGAAAATAATCATTTTGCATTTGATCCTCAATATCATCCCGACCAAGATGAAGACGAATATCAATATTTACAACAACAGAGGCGATAATGAGAATCCAGCGACGAATGAAGAAAAACAAATCGACAGTGAGCATTCATAAGGGCGAATACGCGATGATCGATTCTCTTCATCGATTTTCTCTTTGCATTGCTACTGCTAAGCGAAAC